GCTTCGCTGGCTGTTGCAGAAGGGAGGAGAACCTTTCAGCTGCAGGAATGGTGGCCAGCAAACAGGAGTGGTGCATTGGACGTAAAATCCTTTTGGTGGCCAGAGACATTTTGTCAAGCGGCCAGAGTGGTGACAGTCCGTAACAAAACCTTTCAAAGAGCTGCAAATGTTTGTCACAAGGATCTGCACTCCTTGTGTGTGCACTTTCAAGGGAGGTACTTTGCTAACAAATCTGAATTTTCAAATGATGATATGAAAACTTTAATTTTAGTCAAACTGAGTAACTTTTTCCAGTCTCCTCTCTGGTTTTTCCTTGCAAGCTTTGCATTTCTGTGTTTCTTAAGTTTTGTTTAAAAAGCTGAATGCTAGACTATTTTTTAAAAAAAGTTGCAGTATATTTTGCATATTGCTTAAGGAATGGAGATTGTTCTGACTCCAGATGGTAGGTTTCTTTCTGCTTTTGGCTTGAGGCTGCATGTGAAACAGGCAGGTATGTAACACAGGACAGTAATCTTATTTATTGCTGTTCTGCATTTGTAAAACTGCAAGTCAACACATGAAAAGTTAGTGACTTTCCTTTTAAATCAGACCTTCTATGTAACCGTGATGATAAAGTTGAACACATCTACTGTGAGTTTTAACTTAAGCTATTCCAGCGTGCCCTGTTGTAGAAAGAAGAGCAGTGTTTCTGAAACATGTAACTTTGTTTCTATCAGATGGACTTTGTCACTTTTGGGGCTTTCTGGCTGCTATTAGCATGTTCTGTCATTGCATAGGGTTTTACTGCATTATTGCTCTTTCTGGGGTAGCATTAAAATGTATACACAGGACATGTGAGGAGGAGCTGCAAATTATTTTCAACTGATTCCAGATGCAGTTTCAGAAAGCTCCCTCCAATTCAAATGAAGGATGAGATAATACCAAAAAAGACCACGAACCTACGCATTGGCTGTCTTCCATTCCTATAGTATGCATCTAAGTTGACCGTAAATTGTTTTGTATAGTTAAATTGGCTAAGTAGATTGTTGCAATGTGGTGCCATTCTGAGGCATTCAGTTGGTTTAGGATTTGGCAGAAACCCAGTTTACATGCATGCAGAGAAGCAAAAAATACCAGCTCCAGAACATGTGCGTTCATCTGTAACCTGAAAGGAAAGTCATTGTATAGTTTGGGGGAAGAAAAAGCTTCTCTATTTAAATAAAGTGTGTGCTGTCTTACGGAACTGCTACCTGCAAGATCTGTATGTGCTTGAGAGCTACTGAGCTGCATGAGCAGATAAGATCTTTGCCACCAAGCCGCAGAAGTTACTTTTGGAGGTTGGCAGTTGGGGATCGGAGGAAGCGACGGTTGTGCCTTGGGGGTCAGTCATGGTACAGTTTTACATACTTTCTGGAAAAGGAGAGCTACAAAAAAAAGTTTGAAAGAAAGCTTCAGGGAGTAAAGAGGGAAAATGGGGGTGTCTGTGATCACTTGGGAGGAAGATAAGAGAGCAGGAGGAAAAGCAAGAGTAAGAAAATTTGGCAGAACAGTCTGTGCATTATATCTATTTGAAGTCATTGTTTCCTATTTAAAAACAGTGGTATTTGTGTGATTTTTTTTTTCCCCCCAAGTTCTTATACATCTTATGGAGTAGAATTGCAGAGTCTCTGAAGAAATGCAGAAGGAGGCTCCATTGTAGACAAGCTGGTTACGTATCTGCTTCTTTTGTGGTCAAATGTCATTTATGATTGCAGTGATCATTTTCTTTGCTTCCACCTTGCACTAAGTTCTGAAGAATTTTGCTCATACTGAAAGTAAAGCTAAAAATGTCAAAGCACAACCTTTAAACAAGGATAAAAGAGTAAATATTTGTATATCCTGCTCTCTGAAAAGGTTTGGAAAGCAAAATTCATTTTCAGTCAGGTACTGCTATCAATGAGACTATCCTTTCCTGCACTGTCACAAAATGATACACATGACCAGAGGATTTTCATCTTAAAGAGCTGCTACAGGAAGAGTTTCAGAACTGAATATATTAAGCACAAGGGAAGGGTTTGCACGGATGTTACAGCAGTTTTTGTGCATGGTCATAATATAAGTTGCATACTAGCATGCAAGCATGGTAGGATTTGCATTGCATTTTTTCAAATACAGTTGACTAGTGTGTTGGACAGCATCCATGTTAAACGCCCAAAAAGCATTTCTTAGACTTATTAGACATTGCAAAATCTGAGCTAACTAACAATAGTTAAATTATAGTTTCTATCAGTCTCCAGCCTTGCTCCCCAATGATTCCCTTATCCCAGAAATTTAATTAGAAGGCTCAGGCACAACTATTTGAACCGGCCTCTGGAAAATGGATACTGCTGAGGAATCTGATTCTTCCTATCAGGCTGGTTAGTGCCACGGTGAACACTGATGATATCAAGGCAGTAACTGAGTTCCTAACATTTAGTAACAGATTATTTGAAGATAGAAACTTGCTGTAGCTGCACAGGAGTAGCAGCTTTCAGGCCAGGAAAACCTGTTTTAAGTTACTCTTTGTTTTTTATGGTAGTTGAGCTTTGGCTTAAGAAGGCGAATTCACAGACATTTAAGAAAAATGCACAATATAATTTAGGCTCTGCTTGCTTTTTTTTTCTGGGAATAGTTCAGAAGCATACTTACAAGGTGTGCTGTGGCTTCTGCAAGCCTCCCTCTTTTGCTGTTGGCAGGAATCAGTTGACTTTAAATCCAGATCTCCCTGTCTGAAGGACCGCAGCATTTGTCTGTCCTTTATTCCCCAACCCTCAGTGAAATTCAGTATGCTGCACAATCTGATCCATATTTCAAGATTTCTGTCCTTTTCAGTTGGATCCCTCTTTAGGGCTTTCCTCTTTTCCTTTCTCTGCAGGGAATCTGGCGCATCCCCGTGGATGAGATTGACCGTCCAGG